CTCTCTCTCTCTCTCTCTCTCTCTCTCTCTCTCTCTCTCGCTGTTTCTCCATTTCTTTCTATCATTTGTATACTCATTCGCTCTTCAACTCTTTTCATTTCTATTTTACTTTTTAAAAAGCAGAAATTTGTTCCCAGATTAGATCGTTCCAGCGATAGTGATATAATGATCATACACTCTGGGGGAAGAGCACAACTTATTGAAATTGATGAAACAAACCGGTAAAATGTGCATAAAATAAAACTTATGACTAAATGGTAACATTAATTCTAAGTGAATAATGGCTTACACATACAAACTTGTCTCTACCGTTCCAAACTCCACATCAACATTAATAGGATCAATTAATTTCTTGACAAATTCTTATTTTATGACTTATTTTTTGTACATAAACTTATAAGTGAAAATATTATCATTTATCAAACGATATATCTAATATACTAATACTTATATTATGCATGCAATGCAATTTAACATTTGCCATAGTGGAACAAATATTTCAAAATTACAATGCTTGAAACTGAAAGAAGTTTTTTCATTAGTCATCAAATAAAAATATTATTCAATAATGAAATACTTTGTCATTTATAACATTACTCTAAAAAGATCATTTTATGTTCAGTTTATATATAATAAATTCAGTATTATTATCTGTAAAAGTTTGAGACTGTAGTTAAAATAATTTTTTATATACTTTATTGATGATTTTTCGTTTATTACAGAATGTACAAACTATTGATAATTAATTAGAATAGCAGTTTATATATATTTATAAGCTCCTTTATAAAAAGGGATTTATATATATATATATATATATATATATATATATATATTTTTTTTTGATAATTTTCTGGGTTCATAAAAAAAATATTTCATTATTTTAATAATGCAATATTCAAATGAAACAGAATCTCGAATAAATTTCCGTGAAATACGCAGCCTCCAGTGCACCTTCTTATTCATTTTACTTCAAGTGAAAAATCTTATACTTCTTATAAATTAAATATACTACATAATTTTATATTTATATATTTTTCACTATTATAGTAGAGCGAATAAATTAAAAGGAAAATAAATAAATAAATAACAAAATAAAAACAGTTGAATCCAATACGTATGAATTGAGCACAAGTGGCAATAGACGGCGTCTCGATTTTAGCAACCGCATGGCTCAGCAATGTACCTAGCAATATCAGACGAAGAGACAGACTAGTTTCATTAAAAGTTAATTTCCGTAAAATTTGCCATAGCGATGCTTTCGCGACGACGCTCAGCGCCCTTTATGGAAAGCTTCTGGTCGTCATGGGCATCGCCTTCCCCATGGCGGAAGTCATTTCTACGTACATCCCGCCCTCGTTCTACGAAGCCTTCTACCTCTACCTTTACATCGGCAGTATGGTATTTCTGCTTGTCATGTATGCCACTATGTGCGGTGACAGCAAGTCGAAGAAAAGTAAGTTCTTTCCAAACGCTTTCTGCCCAATTTTTTTCTGCTTCCCCCCTCTATTAAAATCCACTCTATTGCACGTGGCTGTTTGATCTCAGTCCTTTAAAAATCTTCATTATACATCACCCGTCAATCATACCGTCTAATTAATTTTAATAAGTTGAAATTTATTACAGTTACCTTTCTCATATGTAAATCAATTACAATTTTAATTAATATTAAAAAAAAAAAAAAAAAAAAAAAAAAAAAATTAAACTTTTCCAAGCAAAATTCTATTAAAAGTTTAGGACTTTGAGTTTAAAAAGTATAAGCGTTGTATAATAGTAATTTAATATATATAAAAACCACTAATATCTTAACTTTACCAAGATCGAAATATATGAATGATTTATTTTAAAAATTTACAGTTCAATATAATCGATTATAAAGACTATTGGTATTTGTAACTTTTAAACTTTATCAGGACCACTTTTTGTTTTACTTTTCTTTGTAAATATTTGAAAAGTTCAAGATTGAAAATGAAAACCGAGGATGAAGATTATCTAGAAATCTCTATCGATAACAATATAGTAAAATACATTAACCAATATATGAATTAAAATTATAATAAAATTGAGAATAAGAAAAGTCATTGATTTAGCCAATTTTTTTCATTTTTCATTTTTCATTCGATTCCTTATAAATTTTAAGTTTATATTTGCTCGGATCGGACATTTTAATTGAAACTATCTTTATGTGACTATTTACTTCATTAACCTTATATTAATATTATCAGCCGCAGTATAAATTTGCCTACACAGACCCAGTGAGTAATTACATGAAAAGTGAAGGATTGTCAACGGCAAGAGGCAAACGTTCAATCTTCAAAAGGTCTTGGCAATTTGTCGTGCTCTTAGCCTCCTGAGAACTTCACCAAAGTGCCTAAACACCAAAACTTTTCCTACGTCAAAGGCACCCCTCATAATCTCAGCCTCGCAGTAAACTTTAATGACAGCCGTAATAAAGCCGCTCCCTATTCTACTCTGCAGAAAAAACGAAAGACGCGAGTGACCTGGACTCTTCGCAATCATCCAGCGGCGTAGGCGCTGACAGCGACGCTCCCGACGCCGGATGTCCGCACATCGCCGCTGCCAGACCAGCCCAACACTACGGAAGCTTTTACCTACGTATGGGGGCTGTCGCCTTCGGCATCGGCTCCATGATCTACTCGGGCCTCGAATTTGGCCAATACTTCGAACTCGAACGCAATACCAATTGCCATAATATTATGCTCGCCCTCACACCAGCTACTCGCATGGCCTTCATTTTTATCCAGATGTACTTCATCTTTCTCAATGATAAGGTGAGAATTAGCTTGATCATACATGCGTTCGAGATCCTCGTTATTAAGAATGCATAGATTTTATGAATTTTAACGAAATAGAAGTCGCGTCTTTGTCAATAATTATATTAATAATATGAATAATAATAATTATTATTATTATTATAACAACAACATACAACATCATGCAACAACAACAACATACAACAATAACAAAAAATATATATATATATATATATATATATCAAATAATATACTTTCAAGAAAGCTCTATTTCATTAGAATATATGAGCGATTCAGAGAAAAACAATTTGAAAAGTTACCAATAATACCATTACATATAAGCTATAAACATTGTACTCATTAATGTAAATACAATATTTTAAAACCATGAATTTATTATATCTGTTTTTTTTTTTTATGAAAATAATTCAGTAGCCTTCTTTAACAAGAAGCGAAATTAAATTTGTATTTCCTATTAGGTTTTAAAATTTCATAATGCTTTGAGGGAAATTGCTGATACATGTATTGCGATATTTTTAAAGTACAATTATTGCTATATATTATTTTATATTTTATTAGAATATTATATAAAAGAAGGAGCTACATTCTTTGAAACATTAATTTAAAAACAATCTATTTATCAATTGATTTCATAACATATTTACTAATCAACAAAGAGTTTAGTATTTAATAAAATGCAGCAATAATTATAATATAAACATTGTTTTTTAATATTTAATAAATAGTTTCTTTGTTATCATAGATTAAATATTATTACCTAAAATTTATTTAAATTATATTATACGTTGTATATTAATAATTCAATAACAATTATAATTTTTAAAAAACTTCTAAAATCGTAAGTCTGAGGTATTTCATAAAAATAGATAATTTCAATTGTAAATTTTCATACTCTATATCTTAAAAGTTTTCTTCGTACATCATCAATTTCTCACTAAAAATAAAACTAATTTTAATACATTACAGTATTTTATTGCTAAATAAGAACATATATATATATATATATATATATATATAATACACGCGAGCGTGTTTGAGTGTATATCATTTATCGATGGCATTTTAAATAATATCAATTTATGTAATATTAATATATAAAACAAATTATTTTTTCGAAAAATATAATAAAGCTTTTACTAAGCATATTCAATTAATTTATTATTTATTCAATACAGTTTTTATTTATAATAACTTTTTTGAGTTTATTTTACATTACAGTTCATAGCGTGTAATGTATAATTCAAGATTTCAAGTAAATTTTTAATCATGAAATATCATTTGTAGTAAAAACTAAATTTTCAAGTAAAAATAAATGCTTATTATTGTCAAAACTATTTACATTTATAAAATACAAAAGAAAATATGTGTAATTTAAAGCCCAAGTAAAAATCTTCATTTTTTAATTCAATTTAAACATAATTATAATAATGACATAATTATACGTTATTTCATATTATTTCACTGTATATAATATTTTAAATCATACGAATAATGGGATTGCATCATATTCGAGTAATTATCATCTTTTTAACGGGAACTTAACTTGAATAATACGCTCAAAAATGAATTTCTGCTCCAATGAGGAAAAGATCTGCCTGTGTGTGTTTAACGTAAGGATGTGATATCATTGTGCTTCGCATCACTGTAGCAAGGCAATCTCTTTACAGTTTAATGAAACGGAAGAGAAACGGGGAGAAAATGAGAATCCGGTTGTTGTTTACGGGGAAAAGTCTCACTCTCTCATCACTAGGAAACTCTTCTCTTCTTTCTTCTGATCCCTATTCGTTTTTCACGTTAACCCATGCCGATGCACTTTTACGTAAATAACATAGGAACGAAATCAATATTTACTGATAAAATCATACAAAATTAAAGAGAGACGAAAATGAATGTACTAATAATTCATTTGGAAGTAAAATAGAACAATTAAATTTGAAAATGTGATTTAATCTAGAATATAAATAAGGAATAATTGAGTTCAGTGTAGAAATTCAATTACTTTGATGATTGTTGTCTAATAATGTTTTTCATTTATATTTTAATAACATGATGAAAATTACTTATTTTAAAACATCCTGCAATATTATAGTTAATAAGCGTGTAAAACAAAATTTAACGCATGAAATAATACTTTACACATCGTTTACTTGCATATTTACATAATGATTATATGAAGCATTACAACAGGATATATAACGTAAACAATAAATTGCGTAATTTGTAAAATGTTAATATTAAGTAACATATCTAATAAATTATTAAAAAAGAAATATATATAAAGTATTTCTATAATACTATATATAACTAATGGAACTAAAAGAATGTTTTAGTTAAAATAGTTTTATTAAAAATAATTAAAGTTTTTTTTTTTTTTTTTAAATGGCATATTTAGAAATATTGAGAAATTCATTAATGCGCGTTATCTTTTTGAATAAGAAAATAATTTTAAAAATGTAATAAAAACAATTTAATATGAATAATTTTAAATATTTAAAAATTATAAATATTAAATAATCCAATAAGTAAATTCAAATATTATAAACAGTTCGAAATCTAATTGTACAATTTATTTCACCGAATTAAAATGCTTGCAATAAATTTATTCAATATAATCAATATCGTAAAGTTTCAATTTTACAGAATGAATGAAATAAAATTTAAAATCTAAACAAAGATAAATTATTTAGTAAAATCTAATTCTCAAATAAGCATTCATGTTAAATTTAATTATATTTTTGTAAAAAATTATAATTTTCATATTTTTCAACACTTACTAAGTAATTTTAGTTATTTTCCTAAAACATTGCAGACAATTACTAATATCAATTTTATAAAACCTAATATACTGTCTTTTATTTCTTTTAGCAAATGAAAGTTTACAATCACAGAGTTCTTGCACGATTTGGACTGATGCATATGATTGGCACGAATCTTTCTGTCTGGTTAAATGTATTAGTGCAGGAGACCAAACACGAGATTCTCACATTTTATAATCCAGAAAACAACTCGTTGAGGATCTCACATAGATTAGGTAATTATTCAAAATTTCTCTGAATTATATATTAAATAATGTAATTGAGCTAATAAGTATATTTAGCCAATAATAGTTTGGATGAATAAGTTCATCTAGTAAGTAACTAATATAATATAATATTTTAATATATATTAAGCGATTACAATTCATTTTAAAGATCAATTATATGTAGGTAGATTATCCGTACGATATTTTCTTAACTAATTAATTTTAGAAAATTAACTTAAGATAAATAATAAACTGCTATTTTTATAATATGCGATAAAATTCTTTTCGTTAACATTAATGGAACTATCATAGAATTCGAAAGAAAATTCAAGTTAGTCGCTCTCTCCGTACTCTATGATTATGCCAATTTTCATTTTCAATCCCATGAATTTACATTGACATTTACAGGTATACGTCATAAAGATTGAACAATAAGTATTTTTCGAATGGTAAGTTGTTATGCATCCTTTCGATTTTAATCCTATAATGATTTATTACACCAACAACATTCAGTAATAAATAATTTTCAACTATCTCATTTAATTGTTTGAATAACAATTAAATAAATGATTATCAATGTGCATTCGGTTTAAGGATCGTTACGAACGTGGCACATATCCAAGCAAACGTGCACGAAACAATACTACTACACCAAGCGCATAAAAAGTCATCGGGTGATATCCCTACCAATAGACAATGTATAAAAAATTCAACACCTTAAAAATTACTTAACAATTAAGCATAAAGTAATTTGCCATAAAATTTAATGACTAATAAGAAAATTGATCGAAGCGCTTGCACACATAATTAATTAATCTTAATGTACTATCCAATCATGTATTAACTGGGCGCTTTTTAAAGGAACGAAAGCTGGACACTTACACCTCGGTGGTCACAGCCACGGTCATCATGGAGATCAACACGCGCAGCAAACGAGATTACCACGTGGCCTAAAGGGACCCCATCACATGTTCGAATGTCGACGTACCAACATTATGGGCTCGCTCGTTCAAGATGCCAGTCCCTTCCTCTTTCGCTGCACCATCGAATACAGCCTCATCTGTGCTGCCATACTCTACGTTATGTGGAAGAATATATCCAAGGCGACAGCTAAGAAGCCCGCGACACCACCAGCTCGCCATCACACTCATGCTTATAGGTATGAACTTACTACATGCAACCAATTTCAAATGTCCTTGGATTTTAGATTTGGATCCTCAGTCTTTGAGACTTAAGTATATAATGAAATTAATACATGACTTATAAAATTGTTTAATCACGATTCTCCAACAATAATTATAGCATTAAATGCAGAATAGTTCGTGTAACTGTAAGTACTTATAAAATTGTCATTTTTAGGAGATCGCCACATCATTACAGCGTTGACTGCGCGCGGGCGCATAAAGGACTGTTCCTAGGCATCTTGATACTCGTTCTCACCATCATCTCCCTAATTCTCTTCTTCGTTCTAACTTCTCGGCCGGAGCTCGTGAATCTCGCCGTGACCGAAGTTAATATTTGCGAATTGACGCTTTACGGCATGTCAACCCTGGCCACCCTCATCGGCATGTGCCAAATGCGAAGACTACGATACGACGGCAGCCGCAACCTTGAGCTCGATAATATCTTATTGGTAGCTGCGCAGACCGGCATGTTTATATACTCGACTTTCACGATAATTGGTAGCCACTTCACCCTCGAGAAGCACACCATCTTAGTTATGATAACGGCACTGGCCAGCGTCGTTCAAACAACCTGCCAGACAATTTTTATATTGGACGCATCGAGACGCTCAGTCGCCACGGCAGACCAAATACGCCATAAGCCAGGACGGGAAATCGTCACATTCTTACTGGTTACAAATTTAGCCATGTGGGCAATAAATACATTGGAAAAGTCAAGAGCTGAGTCACATCCAGTGCAATTGCACTTTTATGGGCTATGGGCATGGACCATCATAACCCATGTCTCAATGCCTCTCGCTATATTCTACAGGTTATCATTTTTATATTACCAATATCCTTACATTACTAATGCGCTCATTCTTTTACTTGATCGTTAAATATCAATGGCATTTATATAAAAATCGAGCTCTAACATAAAACATTAATTGCTTATTAATATTACTCTTCTTGGATTTTAAATTGAAACCCCATTATTATGAAAAGATTGTTGTCATATTGTGACATATTGTTTTTTTTGTTTTTTTTTTTTTTATATTTGACCGAACATTTAACGACATTATATAGTATTTTATAGAATTACAATAGAGGTGAGAAATATGACAATATGCGAATGAAATATTTTAAGTCACGCTTATGTGTGTTCGTGTAACATTTCAATAATCGAGAGACTATAAAATAAGAATTCGGATTTGATATTTAACAAAAACAATATATATTTAAGATGACCTAATAAAATATTAACATTAATAATATAATGGATAGCTTGAATTAAATTGAGCTTCTTCAGGTTTCACAGCACAGTGTGCTTATGCGAGGTTTGGAAGAAGGCTTACAAGGTGAAACCAACTTACATGTGACGCAAGGGATCGTCCGAGGCGTCGAGGAAGAGAAAACAGCGCTCGGTCTCGAGCAAGACCTGCTTGGTGCAGCGGCCGAGCAATTTGCCAGCGAGACTCGAGTGCATCGCCGAGAACGATCCTACGTACTTCATATGATCGCTTACCCTCACGAAACTCCAGCAGATCGCCGCTCAGCGAGTCCCTCCCCGCAGATCGATACTCATCCTCCGGGACGAGCTCTGAGCTCTCCTTGCCCGTAATACAAGAGGCTATTCTCCGCTCGACCTTCCCAAGCTTCATTCTCAGAAAGATACTTGTACTTTAATGCAAAGCTTCTTTTTTTCTCTATATAATACGTTGTGACGAGTATGTGACGTATGTCAAGCTGGACAATTAGTTACGAAGTTGTCAGTTTAGCGCCGATCGTACACGAGCTTGACGATGTTGCCATGAATCACTGAACCTTCATGCGCGTATTTCTGCAACTCAATAGACATAGAGAATTTTTAGCTTCATATGTCCAAATAGCAAACTGTCCATTCTTAGACGGACATAAAGAACTGAAAAGCGTATTTATAAAACTGAGATAACATGAGCAATGGCATTTAAAACCAAAGAAAAAAGAAAAAAGGATTCATTAATCGTTCACTCTCATAACGACGTACATTAAACAAAAATACTTTATCTTTTTTTATTGTCGTATATATTTTAATACTTATGAGTGTACAAGAGCATTTTTAAATGTTACCTTAATGGAGGGACCTAATGAATAATCAACTGGAAATTCGTGAGAACCGATATAACCGAATGCTGTGATTGCGATAATCCGCATGACTTTAACCAAACAATAAAAATCTTCCATTCAAATTGACGGAAAATTTTATTTTTTATTATTATTTTATTTTATCAATATGATCTCTACGAATTGAAACAGTCCAAATTAATAAAAATGCCAAAACAAAAGATTTCTACGTACATCATGAAAGAATTTTAATTAAATTAAATAAATTATTATGAAATATACTTGCTTCTTCCTTCTTATAGATTAAATATAATAATAAATAATAAAAGGGCTATTACTATATTTAAAAATTAAGCATAAACTCAATATCCTTTACAATAATGAAGCGATTTATTATCTTAGAATAGCCTTATTTATCAATATTCAAAAGGTTAATTTAGTATCGGCTATTATGCTGAACTAAATACCATTTGATCATAATTTTATAATGGATGTTTAGTTTAATCCCAAATCCTTCAGGAACAAACACAAACATCCATGCTGTGATTGTCGAAATTCAATGTGGAAATTTCGTTAAGCTAAGTGAGGCCTGCCCCATCGAAACAACCACATTGGACATTTTTTTAGATTAGTTCGGGATTTCTTGTCTTATGTAAATCCAAAATTGATTTACAAACTAATCGTAAAACAAACGCTTATCAATAAAAAAATATCCCAAAGTATAGTTTCTTTTATGAAAATTGTGCGACATTAGTTTTAAGAATATGATAATGACGAAATTATGCGCATAACTGCTTCGTAAATATCGCTTGAAAGCTTCTGTCCATTAGAATTAGAAAATGACGACAGCGCATAATATTAATATATTTTATTCTTTTTATTCGCAATATTAGAGTGCGTAAATGAGAAAATTCTTTTTATTTGCTGCTTTTCAAGAATCCTATCGTACGTAAACGCTCATATTTTAATGGTAGGATGAACCAAGAATAATAAAAGGACCACTTCGATATGGTAGAATTTTTCGATGTAACGTTTTACACCTTTTTATACAAGTTTGTTCTAACAACTATTTTTTCGATCAAAGTCTCGATAGATTATAACACTTTTATATAAGGTAGACAAATATTTAACTGATCATTAGTAAAAAGTTTATTATAGTAGACTTATCGTGAATCAAAGATTGAATCGAAAATAAGATCACTATAAGTAACCTGTATTCTTAAACTGTCAAATTTGATAATAATTTTTTAATCACACAAGCACTCGTCTTCCATAGAGTACAAAGTTCCGAAATCCAGTTTTTGTACTGAAAACAATTTTTCTTTACACCCTCACATGAAATAGTCTTTTTTTTTAGATTAACGAACAATTCTTCACAGTCGAAGGTACCTGCTTGATAAAAATAAAATAAACAGAAAGTGATATCATTGATCAAAATTTTATAAATAAATTCTTTATTAATCAAAACATTCTTAACTGGTTAATAATTAAACTGATGAAAGGCATTGAGAAAAATAAACTTTAGTATATATAAAGACTGTAATATTAAAAGATTTATTTTATCATATTTATCTTGAAATATGTGTATAAATTCACATGAAATATATATATATAAGTTTGTTTTTCCAAAAAAAAAAAAAAAAAAAAAACCAAGTGTTTTTAATTGTATTTACTTAGAAAGTTAACAATCAGTTTCTATCAGATGTATTTCATCAAATTATCAATATTAAAACGAACTAAAATTAAAGGCACCAAATATTTATATCATATAGCAAAGTGAAATAAAACGTATTGCAGACAAATATAAACTAAGAATGAAAAGAATTTTGTAACCTCTAAGGCCAGTCATATCAGTGAGGATTGAAAATCGCTGGCGATCGGTAAGAATAATCAACAAAACTGGGCCATCAAATGTTTACTTGAGTCCGCAAATATACTCACACTTTTTTAATTGTATAACCGACGCGAATGATTACGAGTGTAATGCTGTTTTGTTTTTTAGGACAATGCGTATTCGCGCAGTGAACGCGAAAAGGAATACGCAAATGTTGATGATATCATAAAAGAAAGTGAATAGTCAGTAAGTATCTATTTAATAGAATACATTTTTTCTCATTTCTTCAAAGAAATTAATGAATAAATAAATAAATAAATAATAATAAATAAATAATGTGCGATAATCAATTTTTCTAATAATTTTTATTTTAATAATTCGGCATTATTGAGAATATTGAAATGAAAATCTTATTATTAAAAATTATGAAAAATAAATCTTGAATCTTATCATGGTAGAAATAGTTAAAAAGAAAAATTGCTTAGTGATATCACAGTTATTATCAATTCAAAAAGATAGAATTTTACGGATGTGCTGTAACGTAAATGTGATATTATTAATTACTTAAAATTATAATTGCCAAATCAGTTAAGATGATTAGATGGTAACTAAGAAATGTGAAAAAATATATTCTTTTGCTATTCGATCGTCGATGAAATGAAGGATAAGTATGTTGTAACTAAAGAATAAAAAAATTACCGTTCGACCCGATCTATAAGGTCGATTGGTCGCTAAAATGATTTCAATAGAATAATCCTAGTTGTAAAATAATAGTTGACTAGTGTAAGGGCGACACTTCTGCAAATACGAAGAAAATTATTCTTGAGTGTTTTTGACTAGTCGTGTCGACATGTTTCTTCCTATTATATTGAATTATATAATATATAGACATACATATACATACATAAAGCTATATATATTTATTTATTATTGCGTTATTATATTTTAATATTTATTGTAAACGTCGCATTTGCTGATACGTTTTACGAATACTAAAATTTACAACAAAAAAAAAGGAACTATATAGACACAATTTAATTCTACCGCATTTGTGCTGTTTGTATAAAATATATTATCGTCAAAAAAAAAGAAAAGAAAAAAAAAAAAAAATGCAAAGAAAAATCTATCGTTTCTGACCAATTTAAAATATAAAATTTTATATCAAATCATAGCATTTAGCATTGACAACAAAATAATAATAAATTTCAATGAGTTTATTAATTACAAATTAATGGTTTGATTCTCTGATACATTGAAAATTTTAAATATAACCATGAATATAACTATTAGCCATCTTCAATAATCATGATCTTTATAATTCTTTAACATTACGAATTTATTTAGTAAATCAATCGTACAATCAAATATCTTCATCGATAGTTTAAATTAACCCTTTATGTTAAAAAATCTTCTAAGTTTATTTATATGCTTATATGAGAGTATCTTTAATTTCTGATGATACGATAAGTAAATTTTTTAAATGAAATGAAATTAATAAAATAATGAAAAAGCTCAGCACAAGTGTATAATAAAAGTCGCATTTTTCTATGTCCGCATATTCTAGTTCCTACGCAATGTTTGTACTC